CCTGCTAAAGGCTGACATATGCGGTATAAAAGTGAAGCAAATAAATAAATAAATAAATAAATAAATAATTGGTAGAGGAAAGAAATAATAATAATAATTGGTGGAGAAGGTGGGTAAGAAAATAATAATAATAATAATAATAATAATAATAATAATAATAGGTAGAGATCTGCGCACACATTATTCGCCGATACATCACACAGTCCGAGATACTTGGGAAGTGTCCGACATGTGATCCAATTCAACAGCCAGCAGAGCGTCTGTTGTGGACTCATCTTGTTGTGTTTCAAATAATAATAATAATAATAATAATAATAATAATAGTACATCACACAGTCCTAGATGCTTAGGAAGTGTTTGACTTGTGATTTTTTGATACGAAATTCAGCATAGATCTTGTTTGCTGTGTCATACTGTGGTTTTGTGTCAGTAAAATAGAAATAATTGGTAGAGAAGAATTGGATAAGATAATAATAATAATAATAATAATAATAATAATAATAATAATAGAGAAGAAATTGGTAAGAAAATAAAGTTAATAATAATAGGAAGAGAAGTGGTGGGTAAGAATATAATAATTATTATTATAATAATTATAAAAATTAGTAGAGAAGAATTGGATAACAACAACGAGACAGGGTCCCCGTGTTGTGATCTGGTCATTGACTGTAATAAACTTTACTTACTTACTAACAACAACAACAACATAATTTGAAAAAAGTTCTGTTCCTGGTTTGAAAGTGTTGGAAAGGTGAAAATGCTGCTAGAACAGCACGGCCAAAATATATTTGATTAATCTCGGCTTTTCCTTCTGGCTGAACAGCCCCGATTTCCTGAAGCCTTACGATGCAGCCGGAACCATCCATGATTATGTGGTGACCATGCTGTGCGGACAGGAAAAGCCTCGGATGACCACCCAGAATGCGGCCAGTTGGGGCTATTTCAGCACCACCAGCCGGAGTTGGAATACCGACATGTAAGTCGTCCTTTTCCCATCCTCCGGAGGAATTGCAACTCCCATCATGCCCCGTGAATGGGGCAAGTAGACCTTAAATAACAGTAACACTATGATTTCATTCCTGGGTTGTCAATGTCATTTCGTAATTGATTTTGTCATTAAAACATGGGGAAAGTGTATTAAACTGCACAAACTCTGTCTTTGTGGGAGGGACGGAGGAGGATTTAAGGTTTGAATTACTGTCACCTTTTTTGGTAATTGTCTATTCTTTTCTGGAACAGAGAAGAGAAACATCTCAGCTGCGGTGTTCAATGAGAATTGCCGAGGGTAGGATTCAGCTGTGAAAGCAGCATTTAAAGCTTTGCAATGTGCTGCCTGGTTACTGTTAGCAACGTCTTGGGTCCTGTGCTCAGTTTGGAGAGCTGTAGACACTGTTTGGAGTTTGGGACGGTTTAATTGGTTGTAAATTTGGTGATTGGATTGAACCAGAGGGATTCAATCAGTATTGCTGAGAGAATAACTAGGAGTAGGGAACAGGCAGCATTTAATGCTTTGCAGTGTGCTGGCCGATTGCTGGTGGCAACGTCTTGGATTCTGTGCTCACTGTTTGGAGTTTAGGACAGTTTTGTTGGTTGTATGTTTGGTGATAGGATTGAATCTGGATTTCAGTTACTCTTCTGCTTCCTCCTTAACAGCTTGTTATTATTGAGAATTCATTGGCTGATCTTGAAGTGTAAAGCTATGTTGTCGGATATTCCAGGGTGAGGTGCTTGACAGTGTTAGTGAAAACCATTCAATAACTTGGGGCACTGCAATCCTTATATATATATGTATATATGTTTGTTTATTTATTTACGAAGGGGACTCAGAGCGGATCACAGAACACATATACGGCAAACATTCAGTGCCGTTATACACTGACAAGACAGACAATTTCCCCTTCTTTGGCATTTTAGAGGCTGTGTTTGGTTTCGGCCACAGGGAGTGTTGTCGCTCCACTTTTCCTGCCAAAGAACTTTGTTTGTAAAATTTCTCCTTGATCAAATCACATTTCTGGCATTTCCTTAAGGGTACCTTAAATACCCCCCCTCTTAAGCAGTACCTATTTATCTTCTCACATTGCTGTTTTTGAAACTGCTAGGTAGGCAGAAGCTGGGATAAAGGCCAGGAGCTCACCCTGACCTGAGCTTTGAACTGTCAACCTTTCGGTTGGCAAGATTTACTCCAGCTGGCGGTTAACCTGCTGTGTGCTGTGTACGAAAAGCCCGGACCATAGGGTATATAATAATACGGAGTTAGATGATAATGGTGATGATGTTATTATTATTATTATTATTATTATTATTATTATTATTATTCTGGGGCATAATAATATGGCATTAGGGTGCATCTAATAAAAATAATATGCATGTTGGACACATAATATGGAGTTAGTATTATTATTATTATTATATGGAATTAGGGTGCACTTAATAAAAATAATATGCATGCAGGGTATATAATAGCATGGTGTTATGGTGCAGTTAATAATAATAACAATAATAATACTCCAATAAGCTTTTATTGGCATATACATAGCAAAAAAAAGTATAAAATACTTTTTTTGCTATGTATATGTCAATAATAATAACAACAACAACAACAACAATAATAACTTCAGGGGCATAATCATGTGGATTTAGACTGCATCTAATAATAATATGGAATTAGGGTGCATCTAATAAAAATAATATACATGTTGGACACATACTAATATGGAGTTATCATCATCATAATTATTATATAGAGTTAGGGTGCACTTATTAAAAATAATATGCATGCAGGGTATATAATAGCATGGTGTTATGGTGCAGCTAATAATAGTAATAATAATAATAATAATAATAATAATAATAATAATAATACTTCAGGAGTATGATCATGTGGATTTAGACTGCATCTAATAATAATAAAGAATTAGGATGCATCTAATAAAAATAATATGAATGTTGGACACATAATAATATGGAGTTAGCATTATTATTATTATTAGTAGTAGTATTATTATATAGAGTTAGGGTGCACTTAATAAAAAAATATGCATGCAGTGTATATAATAGCATGGTGTTATGATGCAGCTAATAATAAGAATACTTCAAGGCATAATCATGTGGATTTAGATTGCATCTAATAATATGGAATTAGGGTGCATCTAATAAAAATAATATGCATGTTGGACACGTAATAATATGGAATTATTATTATTATTATTTATTATTATTATTATATGGAGTTAGAGTGCACATAATATGCATGCAGGGTATATAATATCATAGTGTTATGGTGCATCTAATAATAATAATACTTCAGGGACATAATCATGTGGATTTAGACTGCATCTAATAATAATATGGAATTAGGGTGTATCTACAGTAATAGGCTTTGGGAGACATCTAACAATAATAAAGTTTTGAGCTTGGGAACATCCAATAATAATGTAAGGTATTTAATAGTGTAGACTTAGGGTGCATCAAATAATAATATGGTATTAGGGTATATAATAATGTTGCATCTATAACAATATGAACTCAAGGTGTATCAAATAACAGCAACAACAACGACAACAGGAATTTAGGGTGCAGCAGCATTCTTTGGACAGAGAATGTTTAAGGCCTTAGAAAACTACAACTCCCAGGATCCCCTTGCAAGGAGCCATAGCAATTCAAGTGACGTCAAACTGCATTCGCTCTGTAGTGCATATGCACCCAAATATTTGCAGAATATGCTCGCCTGCTACACGTAAGTCTGATGGAACTCGGCAAAGCCTTTTGAAGCATCCCGGCTTATTTTTTTGCAGGAAACGGCATCCACAACTTCTTACATAGACCATGGATACAAGTTAGACCGCCAACTGGGAAGTCATGGCCAAGGGAGCCAGTCCTCTTTGCTCATTCATTTTGGTAGAAACCCTCGTGTCTGTTTTGTCTCTCGCTGTCTTCATTGCTAACCTGGTTTGGCAAAAGTTGTTAGCGGAGTGTTTCCCTTCTGATAATTGTGTTTGTTTGTTTACTTTTGGAAGGCCTAACATTTCGGAATCAGTGCATGATAGTGGCGCAATAATCGCTTGCAGTTCTCCATCAGGGCTGTTCCGGTGTTTGAGAACGAATCCTGACTTTAGAGAGAGTCCTTACGGAGGGATCTTTCAGCCCTCTTCGGTTATAACAACAACTTGAATATTCTACGTGTGGCTTTGTTTTGTTCAATTACCCAGCATGCCTGTTTCAAACTTGAGTGTCTGAGTAACATGCATGGATTGAGTAGCCTGAGTTGTCTCCTAACCTGCTGCCACCTACCGCTGATTTCTCCCTCCTGGTTTTAGCCTCCGGGAATCCGGCTTCCCTATCCGTTTGCTTCCGGAAGTGGTCCAGCCGGGCGACATAGCAGGGAGAACGGCCTACGCATGGCACGGGGTGCCAAAGGGAACCGAAGTGGGTGCTGCTTTGGGGGATTTCCAGTGTTCGGTGCGCTCTTGTATGACCCAAGACACTGATGCCGGTATGTGAACCAAAGGAGGGGGGTGGGTGGCTTTAGGCCGGAATCTGTACTTCAAAAAGTTACATTCTGTCTGTCTCAGTGTCCTGAGTTGCCCTTCATAAACAACCTTTAGACAATGTTGAAAGTAAAAGAAAAATGCTTTACTTCAGCAAACACAAAGGATAAGCAAATGCAATTGAAAAGTGCCAAAGAAAGCAAGAAAGTCTTAATTCAGACACAAATTAAAGTCCCAAAAGAAACACCAGTCTTCCATCAGACAACGGGCAATGAACTAAGTCCTTAGCAGCAGACACAAAGCAGATTCCATTGGAGTGAAAACATCAGTATCAGGGTTGTTGTTACCAGTGAAAGCTGACTGCTCTTGCTACTGATTTATAGCCCTGAATTCCCCATGCAGGAGGTGCTAGGGAGTCTCCCAATTAGCTTAGCGTTTTTAGCAGCTATCCTCGCTGAACGTTGTCTGTGCTCTGTTTCTTTTCGTCTCTCTAGAAATGTGGGCACTTTCAAACCCTCATCGTCTGATTCCTCTTCTCCCTCCAATCCCTGAGCACTTCCCTGTTCCCCTTCTTCTTCCGAAGATGAGGAATCCCTAACACTCAGTTCAAAAATGGAGATTTGGACTTTGTAGACTCATTCAGTTGGAAGAGACCACAACTTTTTACCTTAGCATGTAATCCTTGTACAGATAACTCTGGTTTTTGGCAGATCTATGGAATTTGCCTGATATGAACAGCAATAAAGAACAGTGTTCCCTCGCTAATTTGCGGTTCGCTTTTCATGGATTCGCTGTTTCGTGGTTTTTCAATAAATACATTAATGTATATATTTATACTGGAGCTGCGCCTCTCCTTGCCACACGAATCGTGGGAGATGCCAGCATTGGAAGCCTCCTCCTACAGGGACCCCACTCATCCAGCTCCTCCTCCTCGCCTTCTTCTTCTTCCTCCTCCTCTTCTTCCTCACTCTCCCCTGCAGATGGGAGCCCTTCTGGGTTGAAAGTGGGAGAAGGAAGGAAAGGAAGGATGATAGACAGGTTTAGAGGGGCGAATGGCAGGTAGGTTGGGAGGGAGAAGGGGGGACCCATGTGACATCACGAGACCAACCCAGTGCAGAGGAAAAGGGCGGGGGAGGCGTCAAGCTCCCTAAAAAGTAAAGGATGTCAGGATATACCCAGCGGATGAATACTCACCAAAAACGAAAGTAGGACTTGTGCAGCGGCCGCTTGAGACGCTACTTGCTGACGGGAGATTGTGTGTGTGTGTGTGTGTGTGTATATGTATGTATGTATGGATGGATGTATGTATGTGTGTGTGTGTGTGTGTGTGTGTGTGTGTGTATATATATATATATAATCCCTATCTCATGGATTTTCACTTTTCGCGGGTGGTCCTGGAATGTAACACCCGCGATAAGTGAGGGAACACTGTAATAAAAATAGAGTAAAATAATAAATGTAGTATCTGCAGGGAGGTACAGAGGGGAACAGTGTCTGAATTCTCCTTTGCGTTGGGTATCTAATGTCCAGCCCTTGCCTAACTGATCAGTTGGTTTTCTCCATTATGGTGGTACCGGCTGTCTTTTTGTTTGCTGTCCTCCCAAACTTCCTCCTTCCCTTTTTTGCACAGAATTAATGATGTGGTAGGGGAACATGTTGTCTTTGCCATTCACTTGTAACTCCTGTCAAAATTTCTCCAGAATGGGCCATGTGTCAGCATAGGTTAGGAACAACAATCACAAAAACCCAGCCAGGTTACTCGATCCATTCTCTTCTCCTTCTCTCTCACCATGATGCCTCCATGAAGGAGGACCTGATGCCATGTTGACCTCTAAGGAAGATGAACTCATGCCATCTTGAGTTACGTACCAAAATGATTTTTCTCATGTTTGTGCATTTCCTGATGAAGCTTTTTTTTGTGTCCGGAGTGATTTGAGAAACTACAAGTTGCTTCTGGTGTGAGAGAATTGGCCGTCTGCAAGGAAGTTGCCCAGGAGACACCCGCATGTTTTGATGTTTTACCATCCTTGTGGGAGGCTTCTCTCACGTCCCTGCATGGGAAACTGGAGCTAACAGAGGGAGCTCATCCTCGCTCTCCTCGGATTTGAACCTCCAACATGTCGGTCTTCGGTCCTGCCGGCAGAAGGGTTTGTTGCAACTGTTGATCCTAACCTACGTTGGCAACATGCTTCCTTCCTGAGTCTTGAGGACCTTTCTGATGAGTGGAGATTTGTTCTTGAGGCCGCAAAAGTATTTCTCTTCCTCCTAGTTCTCAACATTGGCACTTCTGCTCAGCTCACGGTCGCCATGCCTTCCGAATTCCGACCCGGAGACACCCCAGACCCAAATTCTCCGGTGTCCTACTATCCCTATTTTGACAACCGCTATTTGGTGGTGGCAGCGTCCTTGAATGGCGGGAATGCGGTGGCAACGTTTGTGGACATGCTGCTGAGGTGGATGGCTGACCTAGGTAAGGAAAAACACCGCATTTCCGAATGAGGAGATGCTTCAAATCACAGAGATTGACGTTATTACTGGCTATCATGCAGTCCTGGACCTTAGCATACCGGGATGTTCTCTTTGTTTTTATCCATATGTATTTTTTTAAAGACCAGATGTTTACTGTATTCAGATAGGATGCATACCCTTGTCATCACACTCGATGACACTATGTAATGTGATTTTTGTACTTGGGCTATAAATGTTATTTCATAATTGGTTTGATCATAAAAACATGAGTAAAGTTTATTAAACTGACAAAGCTTTGTTTGTGTGGGACAACCTAGAGCTCATTTTGCTATAATTTTTCAATGAATATCTCATAGAATCATAAAGTTGGAAGAGACCTTATTTATTTATTAATTAATTTATTACTAGCCATCCCCTACCACATGTTGCTATGGCCCAGTCTGTATATATGTGTTTTGTGTGTGAGTATATGTTTGTATATATGTGTATATATATGTGGTTTTGTGCATGCGTTGTAATGCATTTTTTTTGCTTTTTAAGTCTCTCCTGCTGTGTTTTTCAGTATTTTTATGAGTGATGGTCACTCGTTGGTCTGATAGGTGTATTGTGTCCAAATTTGGTGACAATTCATCCAGTGGTTTTTGAGTTATGTTAATCCCACAAACAAACATTATGTTTTTATTTATATAGACTAGCCGTTCCCTACTACACGTTGCTGTGGCCCAGTCTGTGTATATGTGTTTTGTGTGTGTATATTTGTGTATATATGTGTTTTGTGTGTGTGAGTGTGTGTGTGTATGTATGTGTGTGTGTGTGTGTGTGTATATATATATATATATATACATACACACACACATAAAAATGCTCTGTGCATAATGAGTTCCTTAAAAACAAAAGAACCAATGAACGAAATCACACCAAATTTGGCAACAAAAGTCTCACAACACAAGGAGTGACCATCACTCAAAAATTATGATTTTGTCATTTGGGAGTTGTAGTTGCTGGGATTTATAGTTCACCTACAATCAAAGAGCATTCTGAACTCCACCAATGATGGAATTGAACCAAACTTGGCACACAGAACTCCCATGACCAACAGAAAATATTGGAAGGTTTGGTGGGCATTGACCTTGAGTTTGGGAGTTGTAGTTCACCTACATCCAGAGAGCACTGTGGACTCAAACAATGATGGATCTGGACCAAACTTGGCACAAGCAATATGCCCAAATATGAACACAGATGGAGTTTGGGGGAAATAGACCTTGACATTTGGAACCCCACCAACGACAGAATTGGGGCAAACGTCCCACACAGAACCCCCATAACCAACAGAAAATACTTAAGGCATCCAGTCCAACTCCCTTCATCAGGGCAAGAAAACGTAATCAAAGCCCTCCTTACAAGAGCCATAGATATAGATAGATAGATAGATAGATAGATAGATAGATAGATAGATAGATAGATATTCAAAGCATCCCCATCCAGTCTCTGTTTAAAAGCCTCCAAAGAAGGAGCCTCCACACGCCGGGGCAGAGAGTTCCACAGCTGAACGGCTCTAACAGTCAGGAAGTTCTTCCTAATGTTCAGATGGAATCTTCTTTCTTGTAGTTTGAGGCCATTGTTCTGCATCCTAATCTCCAGGGCAGCAGAAAACAAGCTTGCTCCCTCCTCCCTAGGACTTCCTCTCACATACTTATCCATGGCTATCATGTTTCCTCTCAGCCTTCTCTTCTGCAGGGTAAACATGCCCAGCTCTTTAAGCCGCTCCTCATAGGGCTTGTTCTCCAGACCCTTGAGCATTTTGTAGCAAATTTCTTGTGAAGTGGGTGAGTTTGTTAAAAAAAAGGAACTAATTTATACAATCATAGAGTTGGAAGAGACCTCATGGGCCATCCAGTCCAACCCCCTGCCAAGAAGCAGGAAAATTGCATTCAAAGCACTCCCGACAGATGGCCATCCAGCCTCTGTTTAAAATCCTCCAAAGAAGGAGCCTCCATCACACTCTGGGGCAGAGAGTTCCACTGCTGAATGGCTCTCACAGTCAGGAAGTTCTTCCTCATGTTCAGATGGAATCTCCTTTCTTGTAGTTTGAAGCCTAGTCTCCAGGGCAGCAGAAAACAAGCTTGCTCCCTCCTCGCTATGACTTCCCCTCACATATTATACATAGCTATCACGTCTCCTCTCAGCCTTCTCTTCTGCAGGCTAAACATGCCCAGCTCTTTAGGCCGCTCCTTATAGGGCTTGTTCTCCAGACCCTTGATTATTTTAGTCGCCCTCCTCTGGACACATTCCAGCTTCTCAACATCTCCCTTCAATTGTGGTGCCCAGAAATGGACACAGTATTCCAGTATATAATGGGGAATCATTCCCTTCAACCTCTTTCAACTCGCCGAACGTCTCCTTTGGTGTGCGGCCTTGCAAGGAAAGGAATTGGAGGACTGCTCTGGATTCCACTGGGTCCATCACCAAACCTCACACCACTTCCACACTTGTAAAATCAAGACTGTTATCAGTTGTCAATTGTGTTTGATTTTCTATTATGCTATTTTGCTTTATTTATTTTATTTTGCTACTGTATGTATTTTATTCTGATGTAATTTCTGTTGTTTTGTATTTTGTATTTTATTTTGCTGTAATGTATCTTTGGGCTTGGCCTCATGTTAGCCGCCCTGAGTCGTCTCTGGGGAGATGGTGGGCGGGGTATGAATAAAGTTGTTTATTATTATTATTATTAATTGGCATGTAACCTATAGAGACTTCTGTCATTACACGGGAGGTTTCAGCGTCCTGTGATAAATAGAAGTGGGCCAGGGGAAATCTTTAATGAACACCCCTCGTATCTCAATGTGATAAGGTCCATAACGGAACAAAGTGAGGCCTAAAGTGTTCATTGAAAGATGGAAAAGAACCATAAAGGTCCAGTCCTGCTTAGGGTTGGACTCTTCCCATCTTTAAGCTTGTATGTTTCTATTGTTTTAGGTAATAGTGCAGTGAAGAGAGGAGTGGGGAAGGCTGAATAAATGACTCAGAAGCACTCAAAACAATTAAGGGCTCGAAATGCGGACAGACGAGTGGGAAGGGGGGAAGCAATTGAAATGGTCAATTAAACCCTCATTAAGGCACTCTCTTCGAAGGATAGGCTGTTTGGTAGTTTTCAAGCTCTACATATGAAGGACTGATTGTCATGGTCACAAAAGAAGAAGAAAGGAATGTGTGTACTGGGAGTATTGTGGCTTACGTGCATGAGGAAGAAGCCCATCATGGAAGCAAAGAAGGACGTATAAAGAATTTATTTGTGTTGTGGAAACCTTGTTATTGTAAATAGTGCAACTATATTATTTTACTACAAAGAAATCCCTCCGAAGGAAGAGATAGCACTGGTCTGTGTGTTTTTGTTCTTTTTGTCACTTTGGGCTACTGGTGCTGGGTCACGCTGCTGCTAATAAGTTACTCTGCTGTGCATTTATGCGGAGGATCTTTTGTTAATAAGCCCACTCGCCAACAATAAGTTCCCTATAACAATGGCACTCCTTTTTTTCTCTCTCTCTCTCTGCCTCTCTCTCAGGGATCCAAGGCTCTGAACCAGAGATCTACCAGCGGATGATCCAGGCGGCTTTGGCTCAAGCCGAAACAGGCCTGTGCATCAGCCCCACCATCTTTGGGGAGCGACACTCCCCTGAACGGCTGGCCTCAGCGACAGGGATTGCAACTTCCAACCTCTCCCTGGGCCACGTGGTCCGAGCCTTGTGTTGCGGAGTGGTCCAGAACCTGCAGGCCATGCTGTCCTCCGAGCGGCTGAAGCAGGCCGGGGTCCAGCGGATCCTGGCCGGCGGGAGTGGGATCTGCAAGAACGAGGTCCTGCGGCAGGAAGTGGAGAAGGCCTACCCCTTCCCGGTTGTCTACGGAAGGGACGTCGACGCTGCCATGGGGGCCGCCCTGGCCCTGCGGCAGAAGAAGTGACACTTCTGGCGGTTCTACAATAGGCTGCCATAGGGTTTGCATTGGAGGACCTAGGACAGATGAACTGCTCTTCCATTTCTTTGTGCCTCCGTCTCCCAGAAGCCAGTTTGAAGATGCTTGACATAGAACATTTCTTAGAGAGGATACCGCTAATCCTCCATCACAGTTCTACCATAGGCTACTATAGAGTTGGTGCTGGAGGACCTAGAACAGGCAAACGACCACCTTCTAGCCCTTTGAGCCTCTGACTCCCAGAAGTCCATGCCAGCCTGACCAATCATCAGCAATTTGGGAAGTTGGAAGCCCAAACAGCTAGAAGGCCATGGTTTAAGGATGAACATTCGTAGAAAATTCTTGAGAGGACCTAGAACACTCCTAGAGAAGATAGCTCTAGTCTTCCATCACAATTCTACCATGGATACCATAGGGTTGGTGTTGGAGGACCTAGAACTGAAAACTGCTTCCTTCCAACTCTTTAGGCTTTCGATTCCCAGAAGCCCTTTCCATCCTGACCAATGATCAATAATTTGGGGAGTTAGAAGCCCAAACAGCTAGAAGGCCATGGTTTGAGGATGAACATTCCTAGAACATTTCTAGAGAAGATACCTCTAGTCATCTCTAGAACTGACCAACACTTTAGGCTTCCGACTCCCAGAAGCCCTTTCCATCCTGACCAATGATCAGTAATTTGGGGAGTTAGAAACTCAAACAGCTAGAAGGTCATGGTTTGAGAATGAACATTCCTAGAACATTCCTAGAGAAGATACCTCAAGTCCTCCACCACAGTTTTACCATAGGTTTGGTGTTGGAGGACCTAGAACCGAGAAACTGCTGTCTTCCACCTCTTTGGGCCTCTGACTCTCAGAAGCCCTCGCCAGCTTGACCAACAGGGATTTGGGGAAGTTGGAGGCCCAAACAGCTGGAAATTCCGCAGTTTGAGGTTGCCTGACGTAGAACATTCTTAAAGATGATATCTCGTTGGGCGAGTGGGCTTATTAACAAAATACCCTCTCCACAAATGTGTAGCAGAGTAACTTATAAGCAGCGTGACCCAGCGCCAGTAGCCCAAAGGGATAAAAAGAACAAAAACACACAGACCAATGCTATCTCTTCCTTAGGAGGCTTTTCTTTATAGTAAAATCATATGGTTGCACTATTTACAAGAGCAAGGTTTCCATAACACAAATAAAGTTCTTTACACTTTCTTTGCTTCCACGCTGGGCTTCTTTCTTATGCAGATAAACCAGTTCGCTCTCACAGAGCCTCTTCTCACACCGAACTTACACAAGAGCTTCATACACAGTAGCCATCACACTGGAGCTTCACACAAGAGGCCTTCAACCTGAGGCTTCTCTCACCAAAGCTTCTCAAACCAGGCCTTCTCAAACTGAGGCCTACTTTACACTGAGGCCTTCTCACACTGAGGGCTGTCTCTGATTGTGGCCTTTCTCACACTGAGGTCTACCTCACACTAAGGTCTACCTCACACAGGCCTTTCTCCCACTGAGGCATTCTCACTGAGGGCTATCTCAGATTGAGGCCTCTCTCCCACTGAGGCCTGCTCACACTGAGGGCTCTCTCTCACTGAGGCCTGCTCACACCGAGGGCTCTCTCCCACTGAGGCCTGCTCACACCGAGGGCTCTCTCAGACTGAGGCCTCTCATACTGAGGCCTTTCTCCCACAGGCCTCACACTGAGGCCTACTAACTTCTCCCACTGAGACCTGCTCACACCGAGGGCTCTCTCAGACTGAGGCCTACTAACTTCTCACACTGAGGCCTTCCTCAAACAGGGCTACTAAGCTACAGGCACACCTGGTTATATTGCTGAATCATTGTATCCATTTCTCCCTTTCAGTGCTTTGGAGTTCTGGGTTTTGGAAGACTAGAATGCCTCCTTTTTGCCACGTCCTTGGTTTTAACAAACTCTTGCAGATACTTTTCAATGGTTGTATTCCTTAAGATGCCCTGAGTTTCATGATTGGGAGCAAGATCACTATACAACAACAACAACATGATGTCATCGGAGCTTCCAAACCCGACACCACCGTTTATAATGCATTTCTCCCCACTCGGGAGGAAATCTGGATTGTCAGCTACTAAATGGAAGGAAGGAGGAAAATAATAACAACAATAAGTCAAAACGACGGATGGAAAACCATTTTTTTCCCCTTTTCGGCTGATTTGTTTGCAAAAAGCTTTTGCCGGGCTCCGGGGAATAGCCATCAACTTCGTCTTCCATCGCTGATGTCTTCCTCAATTACTCATCATTGCCTTCCTTGTCAATTGTCTGGACTCACTTTCAAGCAAAAGGAGAGAGCAAAAGACGGAGGGAGAAGCCCGCTTTCCTTCGCCTCCAGGCAACGCCTTCGAAGAGAAGCTCAGAAGAGCCGTAAGTCCTGCCTTTTTGTACCTTCACACCTGTTGCATTTAAAGTCCCTTAAAGGCGCCGGATCACATTGTAATATCAGAAGCTCCTGTTGGTCCGACAGAGAATAATCCTTATCCATACCTCCACCAGAGTTTGATGCAGACTGTTCCACTGGTGAACAGCTGTTCTTACAGCCAGATTCCAAGTAGACATAAACATAATCATAGAATAATAGAGTTGAAGGCTGAATGGCCATCTGTTGGGAGGGATAGAATTGTGTCTTCTTGCTTGACATCATCATCATATATTATTATTATTCGGTCCAACCCACTTCTGCCAAGAAGGAAGGTAGAATTAATGTATTATTATTATTATTATTATTATTATTATTATTATTATTATTATTCAGTCCAACCCCCTTCTACCAAGCAGGAAAATATAATTTATTGTTGTTATTATTATTATTATTTGTTCTAACCCCCTTCTGCCAAGCAGGAAGATAGAATTATTATTATTATTATTATTATTATTATTATTATTATTATTATTATTTGTTCTAACCCCCTTCTGCCAAGCAGGAAGATAGATTCATCCCAACCCTCTTTTGCCAAGCAGGAAAATTGAATAACGTATTATTATTATTATTATTATTCGTTCCAACCCCTTCTGTCAAGCAGGAAGATAGAATTACTATCGTAGTAATGTAACCTCATTGTCTCTGTGGCTTACTCTTTCACATACACTGGATCCAACCGGGAAAATAGAATTATTATTATTATTATTATTATTATTATTATTATCATTATTATTATCATTATTATCATTATTATTATTATTAATTCAGTCCAACCCTCTTTTGCCAAGCAGGAAAATCAAATTATTATTATTATTATTATTATTATTATTATTATTATTATTATTCGGTCCAATCCTCTTCTGTCAAGCAGGAAGATAGAATTACTATCGTAGTAATGTAACCTCATTGTCTCTGAGGCTTACTCTTTCTTGTACACCAGATCCAACCTATCAACGTAGCTTGGACTGTTTACATACGTACGTCTTCTGTTGAACTGTTCATAGTAACATAGCCTCCTCTTCTACTCTGATGCTTACTCTTTTGTGTATACCGTACTCGACCTGCAATACTACCTTAAACTTTGCATTTTGCCTCAAACCATTTAGTTTAGGGTAGGTTTCAGATCAAGGGCCTTGGAGGGCCAGTGCGTAGTTTGGAGAACCCTGCCCTAATCCCTGACCATCTCTTGCTCCGTCTTGGAGCCGTTCCCGTTCCGTTTACAGGAAACAGTGGAGCCTTTGGGGCCTTCTCCCTGCCGGTTGGCCATGTCGGGCATCCTGGGAAAGATGCGGAAGCTGGGCAGCTCGGAGCTGGAGGAGTCGGACGGCCCAGCGGAAGAGCACACGGATGGAGAGGACTCGGCCTCTGGGACCCCCAACAGCACCCTGCGGGCCACCAAGCACAGCCTCTTTGCCCGGCGGGCCCGCTTTGGTATCGGGGATGGTGACATGGCCCCCATGGACTCCTTCTACCAGATGGACCAGCTAGTCTCCAGCCCCGTCATTAAGTTCAGCCTCAGCCTGGAAAGAGGGAAGTGCGGAAACCACTGCTCCAAGTGAGTCAAAACAAGGAGAGGCGAGGGAACCAACGCATAGCTCCCAAAATAAGACTTCTTTCACAGGGCTATTATTCTGGGTGAAGAGGTGTAACCAAAGCAGAATAGAAAGGCACCATGACTTCTCTCAATCTAGACGCGATCCTCCTTTGGATGCAGCATCACACTCTTGCCCCATGTTCAATTTGTTGTCTACTATGGCTCCTTTTATACTGCTTTGAACTGGATTATATGGCAGTGTAGACTCATAGACTTATTATTATTATTATTATTATTATTATTATTATTATTATTATTCAGTCCAACCCCCTTCTGCCAAGCAGGAAGATTGAATTAATTTTTTATTATTATTATTATTATTATTATTATTATTATTATTATTCAGTCCAACTCTCTTCTGCCAAGTAGGAAGATTGAATTAATGTATTATTATTATTATTATTATTATTATTATTATTATTATTCAGTCTAAATCAGATAATATGGATCTGACGTGATAATCTGGATTATATAGTAGTGTAGAAGGAGTCTGACTCCAATATCTCTTCTAGAGCCAGGCGTCACCACTCCTGTCTCTGTGCACTTTTTTCTGTCTACGTTCCTGAAAGGACCGAGGCAAAGAGAAATAATAATAAAAAAGGAAAATTATGAAGCCAAGAAAAGGCTTAGAAATAGAGGGTTTGAGAGGAAGATGGAAATGTTCTAGTCAGAGCAACAAGGGAAGGTGTTAGATAAAAGAGGAGACATTTCAAAGGGCAGAGCTTGATGACCTTCCAGCTAGGAAGACGGGGAATTGCTGTGATAGAGAAGTGGGAATGAAATAGTTTGTGGGCATGCGCTTAAAAACCTTGACTATAAAATATCCTCAGAGTGTGGCACTTGCCGATCTGGCAGGGTGGTGTGTTTGAATAAACCTATTGTACCTTATCTCCTTGCCTCGTAGTGTCTAGTTGGATAGAGACCCTAGGGCAGCCATGGGAAAACTCTCTAACTTGGGGGTCGCATGGCAGGCCGGAGAGGGGTGGGTGGGCCAGGAGGGAAGGGGTTCTCCCCAAGCCCCCTCCCTGCCCTTTCCTCCTCTTCCTCTTCTCTTTCGGAGGCACAAAGCGAAGGAAATACAGGAAACGTTTGGATCCCAAAAGGGTTGGCCTTGGTCAGGATGAGATGGTGGATGGGAAATAAAAAGTGTATCTGTGAGACTCCATATTACCTACTCCTGATATAGCATCCTAGAGTTGGAAGAGACCCCCAAGTCCAGCCCTTGCCATGCAAGAAGGCACAATCAAAGCATTCCCGGTAGACAGCCTCTGCGGAAAAGCCTTCAGAGAAGGAGGCTCCACCACACTCCCAGGCAGCCTGTGCCACTCTCCAGGAAGTCCTACCTAATCTTTTCAGTCAGATCTCTTTCCCTGCCATTTGAAACCATTGCTTCCTTGTGCCCTGGTCTCCAGCGTAGCAGAAAGTCAGTTTTTGCCCTCCTCCTCCTCAATAGGACACCCTTTTAAATCTTGAAACATGGGTTCTCATGTTCCCCCTCTATCTTCTCTTCTCCCAGCTAAACATCCCCCAGGAGGAAATGAGGAAGGAAAATGAGAAGAAAGGGAGGAAGAGAAGGAAAGATGGAAGGAAGGATTGATGGAAGGAAGGAAGGAAGAGAGGAAAAAAGGAAAATAAGGATGAAAGAGTGGAAGGGAAGGAAAGGAGGGAAGGAGAGAGAGAAGGAAGGAAAGACAAAAGGGAGGGAAGGAAAGAAGGATGAAAGGGTGGAAGGGAATATAGGGAAGGAGGGAGGAAAGAGATGGAAGGATGAAAGGGTGGAAGGGAAGGAAGGAGGGAGGGAAGGAAAGAGAGAAGGAAAGACAAAGGGAGGGAAGAAAGGATGAAAGAATGGAAGGGAAGGGTGAAAAGGAATAGAGGCAAGGAGGGAGGAAAGAGAGAAAGAAGGAAGGAGAAAAGGGTGGAATGGAAGGAAGGAGGGAGAGAAAAATAAAGTGGTAAGGAAAGAGAGGGAAGGAAAGAGAGAAGGAAGGAAAGATAGGATAGTGTGAGAGAGGAGGGCCTGAGAAAAGGTTTGCCTATACCTGTCCTAGGGGTTTCGGGACTACATTTTTAGAAAGGACACAGCAGTGGTTCTCAACATTTCTCCTTGTTGACATTCCTTGTGTTCATTTTGGGCAATCAGCTCTCCCATCTGTTGAGGTCCTTTGGAGTTCTGATTCTGCCTTCTGGAGGATGACAGTGGTTTATTCATTGTACCTCCTTCCTTCCCTGTATTTCCATAATTCTGAACCCCACTTTTCCTATGGCAGGCTCCTGTCCACGGCTTCCATTGGTGTCCGGGCTGAGAAGGCCTTCAAGATCTACAACCGGCGGCGCCTCTTTGACGCAGTGGCCCAGGGTGACCCGAGTGACTTGGATGACCTCTTCATCTATCTGATGGAGACCATGAAAAACCTGACCGATGATGAGTTCAAAGGTAAATGGCAGCGAACAAAAGGAGTTATGCAACAGTCAAGTATGAAGCTCAGCACGAAATTGCTCAAAGGAAGGTGTGATATTCCCCCTCCAGCTCTATTGTCAGGAATACTTTTTGAACCTTAAAATGTTTTGTAGTCTGTTTTCAGTAGGACAGAGTATCTTAGGTACTTTCAGAGAAAGCAGTAGACACACAGAACCAAGTACTCAGCTTCACACATGAGCTTTAAACAGGAAGCCCTCAGCCTGAGGTTTCTCTCACCAAATCTTCTCACACCAGGCCTTCTCAAACTGAGGCCTACTAACACTGAGGCCTTCTCATGCTGAGGGCTCTCTAAGACAGGCCTCTCTCACACTGAGGCCTTTCTCCCACTGAGGCATTCTCACACCGAGGGCTCTCAGACAGGTCTCTCTCACACTGAGTCCTTTCTCCCACTGAGGCGTACTAACACTGAGGCATTGCTCCCACTGAGGCCTTTCTCTCACTGAAGCCTTCTCACACTGAGGGCTCTCTCACACTGAGGCCCAAGTACATCACATATAGCATTCACTCACATACATTCAACATTCATACTCACTATCATTCAGTTGATCGGGCTTCTTGGGAAGAAGGAGGTGGGTATTTAAATGGTAAATTTCACTCACATACATTCAACATTCATACTCACCATCCTTCATTTAGTTAATCAGGTTTCTTGGGATGAAGGGGGTGTTCAAATGCTGCATTCCTCACAATTCTGGCACACTTTGAGAAAGGAAGAGGGTCTAGGTTTTGTAGGACTTGTTGTTGTTGTTATCTATTTACTGGCCATTCAGCTCAGACTTGCTGGAGACTCATCAATCCTGGAACAGATAAGTTGTTTAACTTCTTTCTTAAGTAAGGTAACATTGCCTTTGATGATGTAAACGGGTGTTGTTTACACCAAAAGTTCTCAGGTCAGTTCTCTGGCTTTCTCATTCACACTTTTCATGCTACAGTTAATTGATTCTTTACCTCCTTTGTTGCTTTGAGGTTCCATTTTTTCCTTTTTGGATGGTGTCTTTAGTCTTACTAGACTTTTAGGCCCCAGGCAGACCCAATCATACAATTTGATTCATAATAATAATAATAATAATAATAATAATAATAATAATAACAACAACAATAACAACAACAACAACTTTATTTTTATACCCCGCCAACCATCCCCTAAGGGACTCAGGGTGGCTTACAAAGGACAAGCCCAAAATTACAAATAAAACACAACCGGTTAAAAACATCAGTTAAGATATAAAAACAATCACAATTGTAAACAACATCAAAAACAATATGGCTGAGAAAAGAACATAGCTGAGGTACAGAGTCACTGAGTGCAATACATTCTGACGGGAGCACAAGGAAAGTGTAATCATCAAGTAGGCAGGACTGGAAATAACTGTCATCAAAAGTGTTGAGGTAGACAATAAGAGGGCCGGCACAAAGTGCTGAACTTAAAGTAGGGACAGGAAAATTACAGGTGGACTGCTTAATCAAAAGCACACCAGAACATCCAGGTTTTTAATTGTCTCCAAAAAGAGGACAAAGTGGGAGCCTGTCTGATCTCCCCATGAGGGAGTTCCAGAGGGGGCCACCACCAAGAAGGCCCTCCCTCATCCCCACCAACCGTGCTTGAGAAGGTGGAGGGAGAGAGAGCAGTGCCTCCCCGGAAGTTCTCAAGGTATGCACTGGTTCATAGGGGAAGGTGTGATTGTGAAGATAAGCAGGTCCAGAAACGGTTAGGGCTTTATAGGTGAAAACCTGCACCTTGAATTGGGACCGGAAACTTGTTGGAAGCCAATGGAGCTGTTTAAACAGGGGGGTGCACCGCTCCCTGTAACCAGCTCCCATGAGTAGTCTGACTCCAGATCTTTGAACCAACTGTAGTTTCCAGGCTGTCGTCAAGGGCAACCCCATGTAGAGTGCGTTGCAGTAATCCAACCTAGAGGTGACTAGGGCATGGACCACCATGGCCAAATCAGATTTCATGAGGTACGGGTGCAGCCAACGCACAAGCTTTAACTGTGCCACTGCCGACACCTGAGCATCAAGTGTCAAAGCGGAGTCCAGCAGAACCCCCAACCTGCGGACCTGTGTCTTCAGAGGGATTGCGGCCCCATCGAGCACAGGTAGACACCCTATACCCTAATCAGTCCAACGACTGGCGAGGAGGACCTCTGTTTTGTCAGGATTAAGTTTCAGCATGTTAGCCTTTGTCCAGCCCATCACAGCCGCCAGGCACTGGTCAAGGACCCGAGGGGCTTCCTTGGAGTCTGGTGGAAAAGAGTAATAGAGTTGAGTGTTATCTGCATAGAGATGGCACCGAACTCCAAAACTCCGGATGATCTCACCCAGCAGTTTCACGTAGATGTTGAATAGCATAGGGGAAAGTATGGAACCTTGCGGGACCCCACAGGTCAATGGCCAGGGGTCTGAGCAGGTGTCCCCTAGCTTCACCGACTGGGTACGGCCCCTGAGAAAGGAACGGAGCCACCGCAGTGCAGTGCCCCTGAGACCCATTCCTGAGAGTCGACCCAGAAGGATTCCATTCATTCACTCATCACACTGTGAGGCCAGGTATCCCTAACCATAAGACACAAAGAGAGTGATGTTATTTCCCCGTTTTGGGGAAAAAGAATGAATTCCAAAAGTGATTTGTTTGCTCTCCCTGTTAACTGGGGCATTTACTAGAACCGGATACTGGGAAGACCTGCTTGCTGAAAGCCATGCTCAACCTCCACAATGGCTGGAACGACACCATCCCGCTCTTGTTGGACATTGCCGAGAAGACGGACAACCTGAAGGAGTTTGTGAATGCCGAGTACACCGACGGCTACTACAAGGGTGAGGAATGAGTTGGTGACAAAGCTTGGCAGATAGGACCCTCCTGATTCTGTTTGCACTCAACACAGCATTGCCATATTAAGCCTGTACCTGTGTCATGAATCCTTCTTGAACCTTAAAAATGTTCTTTAATTTGTTTTCAATGTGACAGATTTTTAAAAATATTTTTAATGTACTGTTGATTGTTTTCTGATGATGACACCGTATGGTGCTTTTGTGAGGTCGGCCAGAGTCGCCCCTCGAGGGTGAGAGGGACAGGGTAAAAATATAGGAAATTAATAATAATAATAATAATAATAATAATAATAATAATAATAATTAGGCCCTTTCAGAGAAAGTAGACACACAGACCCAGTACTGGGTTTTATAAAAGTTATATTGATTATACAAACAAAGGGAAAATATTCAGCAGTCACTCACATACATTCAACATTCATACTTACCATCATTCTACATTCAGGAAATTTTGGAAAGAAGTGGCAGGTGGACAGGCTCTGCATTGATTTTTTTCAAATAACCTGGGCAACGCCAAGCTAGTATATATATAAAACAGAGTATATCCTGAGAAGTAGGGAAGTAATTCTTGGCTCATTTTGTTCCCAAAGGAAGCAACGAGTAATTTTGTCAGTTTCTTTTTCCTTCCACTCTGAGAATGTCTTTGCAAAGAAGGATGAGTTCTGAGCTTTGGAATGACTTGGAAAACCGTAAAGTAATTCCGAAGCTCAGAACTCATCCTCTGTGACGTTTGCACCACTCTTCAGGTCAGACCGCCCTCCACATTGCCATTGAGAGGCGGAACTACTACTTGGTGGAGCTGCTGCTCAAGAATGGAGCGGACGTCCATGCCCGAGCCCATGGAGAGTTCTTCCAGAATATCAAAGGGCGGCCAGGGTTTTATTTTGGTAAGTGCTGTATTCCAAGCCTGGGAATCACTTCTGTACATAGCACAAAGACCAGTCCAAGGCAAAATAGCAATATAATAGTATTCTTTTCAGGATAAATCCACAAAAAGCAAAGTACAGGAGAAGCATAAAAAATCAGGAATACAAAAGCAGAATAAATCCAAAATATGAGATTCAGGAACAGTCCTCAAAAACTTTGAAACAAGAAACATGAACAAAAAGGAAACATGGAACTAGAAATCGCTTGACTCGATAATAGATCTGTACTCAAACACCAATATTGTCTGGACTGACAGACCCATCTGTTGGACTAGCTAATATAGACAAAAAAAAAACATGCCTTCTCACCTGGGAAACTGATAAGGACTTCTTGGCTAATAGGCATCTTGACCTTTGTAAACTCACCTGAGAAACTCTGTGTTGATGAAACACATATCTCCTATCTAACTGCTCATTAGTCTGTCCACCTGGACTTTCATTTTCATCCTCGGAGCTCAGTTCTGTCTCTGACTTTGCTTCCCTAGCAAACTGCCTTTCTGGAATGTGGCCTTCAGACAGAGACTGCTCATTTTCAGGGCTTAAAATCTCTTGCTGGCTCTCCTCCTGACTTGCAGACCCATAATCCCTAATGTCATCAAGCTGACTAACAGGCCCAGAATCCCCAGAGAGATCCGATGCAGTCACAATCAAAGGCTGGATTACAATAGTAAGCTCCGCATCAGTTCACTGTCAATCGGTCGTACCTGTGGCTCGACCAGAAAGAATAGGGAGAATATTCCTCTTTTGTTACTTGGTATGGAAGTTATGGTGACCCTATGAATGAGATCTTCAAGTGAAATCCTAAGTTTTTGTTTGATGACCCCTAGATCTGGGGCAGCTTGTTATTGTTCTCTCTGCCTTGTGCGCCTGTATTTTGTGTAGGCGAGCTCCCTCTCTCTTTGGCCGCCTGCACCAATCAGCTCAACATCGCCAAGTACCTCCTGGAGAACCCTTACCAACCGGCCGACATCGCTGCTCAGGACTCCATGGGCAACACGGTCCTCCACGCCTTGGTGGAGATCGCCGACAACACCGAGGACAACACCAAGTTTGTCACCAATGTCTACAACGAAATCCTCGTCTTGGGAGCCAGGATCAACCCGACCCTCAAGCTGGAGGAGATCCCCAACCGTAGGGGACTGACGCCGCTGACATTAGCAGCCAAGACTGGGAAGATACAGGTAATCCTGTTCCATCTCATGGGGTTTTCTGATTCTGAGAGCATATCAACATCCATCACTTTTTTTCTTTATTAGAAGAGTGTTGTTAGGTGGAGAAAGGGTGTGTCAATGGTTCTTTATCACTTACATGTAATAGGTGTAGGAAATTGAGATAATATAACCATCAGGCAGAGATTAGAGACAATGATTAGCTGTGGTTGAAAACACCATGTTTACATAGTCAAAGGCAATGTCTCTTTGCTTTAAGTAAATAATAAATACATAAATAAATTTGTAAAGAAAGTAGATTGTATTTTTTAAATACAAAGAATGAATATATTTTAATAAAACTTACATGGCTTGTAGTCTAGGCATTACATTATTTTTCCACATCATCATAATTTAGTTCAATGCATTTTGTCATCTATGGGACGAGTGTTTGATGCCTGTGCCATAGAAGTCTCCCTTTGCCACTTCGTCACTTTGATTTTCACCTTGTCATCATCGTACAAGTGTTTTCCTTCAATTTAATGAAAAGATTATAAACACTGGGTRCGAGATCGGGGATCTTCCGATAGCCAAGCAAAGCAATAATGTGACCCACACGTTCTTGTGAAATGCCGATTATGCTTGGAATTTCTCTCTGAGTGATACAACAATCATTTTGAATCAATCTGTCAACCTTTTGCTTGAGAAACTSAGTGGTTGCTGTCACAGGACGTCCAACTCTTTGTTTGTCTTGCAAAAGTCAGATGTTCCCACCTCAGCATCTTTAAACTTACTCGCCCAGTGGCGCACAGWACTCACATCAACACAATCCCCATAAATAGCTTGCATTCTCTGATGAATCTCCTTTGGGGTGACATCTTCTGCTGTCAATAATTCAATGACTGCATGTTGCTTAAGTTGCATTGACCGACTGTCTGCGCAAGGTTCCATACTTCGCACTTTAACAACGCAACTGTTCAATGCGAAGCCTTTCTGCCAAAATAAAACTGTAGAGGAGAGTCTACTGATCAAGCCAGTACCTGCTGCATACCAGTACTGCCATCTGTTGAGGAGTCATGAAGGTGGAGGCATTACTTTTCACTTTAACAACACAACCGTTCAATGCTAGGGCTTCCTGCTAAAATGGAACTGTAGAGGAGAGTCTACTGATCAAGCCAGTACCTGCCGCATACCAGTACTGCCATCTGTTGAGGAGTCATGAAGGTGGAGGCACTACTTTTCACTTTAACAACACAACCGTTCAATGCTAAGGCTTCCCGCTAAAATGGAACTGTAGAGGAGAGTCTACTGAACAAGCCAGTACCTGCCGCATACCAGTACTGCCAACTGTTGAGGAGTTATGAAGGTGGAGGCATTACTTTTCATTCAACCCTCATAATATGCATACAGCCCTTTTAATGCTTTTGATGTTCCTCTTGAAACTAGGTCTTTGCCTACATCCTCCGGCGGGAGATGAAGGCGCCCGAGTGCCGCCATCTCTCTCGGAAGTTCACCGAATGGGCTTACGGGCCCGTCCACTCCTCGCTCTACGACCTTTCCAGCATCGACACTTGTGAGAAGAATTCAGTCCTGGAGATCATTGCTTACAGCTCCGAGACACCAGTAGGTTTTGTTTTGCTTAAGCATATTTTTTTAATTACCATTAGGCAGATGTTACAGGGTGACAAAAGCAAGGACAAAGAGACTGAGAGAGAGCTTTTATCCTAGAGCTGCTTGAGTGGTGATGGCATGATCGTCAGCATAGATGACTCTATGGCTGGTAAATTGTGTAAATGGCTGGTCAATTGTGTAAATGTTGGACGTTGATGGCGCAAGCACGCTCCCCTGAGGCAGGCCGTTCAATGTTTTGTGTTGATGTGGTGTTATGGGTTGTGATTGTGATGTTTATTTGTGATGTGTGCTGGGGAAAAATATTTAATTTTATTGTACCATGACAATAAAGTGACTCTGTTGGTATCTTTGGGCATTTCTTTTTGTTTCCTCTCCTTCCTGCCCAGAATCGCCACGAAATGCTTCTGGTGGAGCCCCTCAACCAGCTCCTGCAGGACAGGTGGGACCGTTTTGTGAAGCACCTTTTCTATTTCAACTTCTTCACCTACACCGCCCACATCCTCATCCTCACCTTTGCGGCCTACTTCAGGCCAACAAAAAAGGACGGGGTGGTAAGTGGAGTCAGGAGACCTTCCTCTCCCCAAAGCTTTCTTCTTAGAGGAGTCCTCAAACCTTTTAAGTCCCTCTAACTCAGTGGTTCTTAACCTTTCTAACACCGAGACCCCTAAATATGGTTCCTCATGTTGTGGTGACCCCCAACCATAAAATTATTTTCGTTGCTCCTTTTTAACTGTAATTTTGCTACTGTTACAAATCGTAATGTCAATATCTGATATGAAGGATGTGTTTTAATTGTTACAAATTGAACATAATTAAAGCATCATGATTAATCAGAAAAAATATGGATTTGAAGTATCTTCAACCAATTCAGCGCTGACTTCCACAGACCACTGAGACCTCCACACAGAACTCCCATGTCAAACAAAAAATACTGGAGGGGTTTGGGAGGAATTGACAGTGATTTAGGGGAGATGTAGTTCACCTATATCTGGAGAGCATTGTTAACCCAAACAACTATGGATCTGGACCAAACGTGGTACAAATACTCAATATGCCCAAATTTGAACATTAGTGGAGTTTGGGGAAAATAGACTCTGACACTTGGGAGTTGTAGTTGCTTGGATGTAGAGTCCACCTGCCATCAAAGAGCATTCAGAACTTCACCAGAGAGAGTGAGGCAGGCGAGGCGGGCTTTGCGCGAGGCCAGGCCTCGTGCGGAGGACCCCTTGCCTGCCCTGCACCCTCGCTGATGGCGAGAATGTGAGGCAGGTGAGGCAGGCTTTGTGCGAGGCCAGGCCTTGTGCGGAGAACCCTTCAACTGCTCCGCACCCTCGCTGGATGGCGAGAGAGCGAGGCAGGCTTTGGGACGGGGCCAATAGAGGTGGCCTCGCGACCCCTCCAAAATAGCCAGGCGACCCCCTGGGGGTCGCAACCCCCAGGTTGAGAACCACTGCAGTAAGAGCAGCTAAAGCTTCAGAGAGCTTTTGTTCAACCTTTTCAAAGCTCCCTGCTTGAGCGGTGATGACACAATCATCAGCATAGATGAAATTTAGATAGGTTAGGAATCTGCAGGTTTTCCCTGTAATAGGCAGTAAATGTACCTAAAGCTTCGGAGATCTTCTGTTCAACCATTTCAAAGCTCGCTGCTTGAGCGGTGATGGCATGATCGTCAGTGTAGATGAAACTCTCTGTCCCTTCTGGCAGTGGCTGGTCATTGGTGTAAACATGGATAGCTCAAGCATGCTCCCTTGAGGCAGGCCGTTCTTCTGTTTTTGCCATCTCCTTCTCTGGCCCTGGAACCCAACAAAAAAGCTCCTGTTTTGTAGCAAATTTCCTATGAAGTGGGTGAGTTTGTAAAAAAAGGAACTAATTCATAGAATCATAGAGTTGGAAGAGACCTCACGGGCCATCCAGTCCAACCCCATTCTGCCAAGAAGCAGGAAAATTGCATTAAAAGCACTCCCGACAGATGGCTATCCAGCCTCTGTTTAAAATCCTCCAAAGAAGGAGCCACCACCACACTCCGGGGCAGAGAGTTCCACTGCTGAACGGCTCTCACAGTCAGGAAGTTCTTCCTCATGTTCAGATGGAATCTCCTTTCTTGTAGTTTGAAGCCTAGTCTCCAGGGCAGCAGAAAACAAGCTTGCTCCCTCCTCCCTATGACTTCCTCTCACATATTCATACATGGCTATCATGTCTCCTCTCAGCCTTCTCTTTTTCAGGCTAAACATGCCCAGCTCTTTAGGTCGCTCCTCATAGGGCTTGTTCTCCAGACTCTTGATCATTTTAGTCACCCTCCTCTGGACACATTCCATTCCTTCAATTGTGGTGCCCAGAATGGGACACATGCAGACTGCACAGATCTTATTTGTGGTGCAAATAAAATGGGAAAGTCGGGGCTACTTTTGGCTGATGAGAGAGTCGAGTTAACTAAGACTGTTGTTGTTGTTTTGTGTCCGCAGCCTCCCTTCCCCTTGCGCCACACGACCAGTGAATACTTCAGAGTTGCTGGGGAAATCCTAAGCATCTTGGGAGGAGTCTATTTCTTTTTTAGAGGGGTAAGAAACCTTCTCCATAGTTCAATGTGCATTTTGTTGTTTTCTCGGTTCAGTCTCATGTAAATCTACCCACCGGGATAATGCTGTTCTCCCTGGCAAGGAATGAAAGCCCTCACTGTTTGTTGTTTTCTGTCTCCTTCTTCTTCTGCTTTTCCAGCTCAAGTATTTCAAGCAGCGGCGCCCATCTCTGAAGGCCATCTTTACGGACAGCTACAGCGAACTCCTTTTGTAAGCAGTCCTGGACCTTGAAATTATGACCGGGTTATGGCGCAGCTGGTTGGGAGTCAGCTGCATTGAAATCAGTACTGACCGAGAGGTTATGAGTTCGAAGCCAGCCCAGGTTGGAGTGAACTTCCGGCCATTTGTCTAGCTTGCTGTCGACCTTTGCAGTCCGAAAGACAGTTGCATCTGTCAAATAGGAAATTTTAGATTTCCCATCGTGGTCAACTGTGAATCGCACATATGGTATTTCCTGCGCCTGCGCAGACAGTTCAGAATCTTCTAGAAAACTTATTAGACACTATTAGGTGGTAGCCACGCCCACTCTCCCCATAGAGTATATAGCTAGTGGGAGTGGCTACTGCCTTAGATCCTTTCATCCGCCGCCAGCGCAGCAGCTAAGGAATCTTTCTCTCATTTTTTATTAGCGTTTCTGGACTGCATTATTTTATTTGCTTCAATATTTATTATTTTAATTTTATTTTAATTTTATTTTAATTTTATTTTATTGTTTTAATTTTAGGTTAAAGGTAAAGGTTTTCCCCTGACATTAAGTCCAGTCATGTCTGACTCTGGGGGGTGGTGCTCATCTCCATTTCTAAGCTGAAGAGCTGGCGTTGTCCATAGACACCTCCAAGGTCATGTGGCCGGCATGACTGCATGGAGTGCCGTTACCTTCCCACCGGAGTGGTACCTATTGATCTACTCACATTTGCATGTTTTCGAACTGCTAGGTTGGCAGAAGCTAGGGCTGACAGTGGAAGCTCACGCCATTCCCCGGAATTGAACCTGCAACCTTTCTGTCCACAAGCTCAGCAGCTCAGTGCTTTAACCCACTGTGCCACCTGGGGCTCCTGGTGGAAATTTAGGTACCGCTTTATGCGGGGAGGCTAATTTAACTAATTTATGATGCCATAAAACTCTCCAGCAGCATGCAAATGAATGAGGAAGTACTCCATCAGTGTCACAAGCGGATGATAAGGAAGCGACAGCTCCCCCGGTGGCCAGAATTTAAAAAGCATATGCTCATGAAGCTGGAAAGTTAAATAGCCTCTATGTCTCTGTTTATATATGTTGTGTGTCTATGGCATTGATTATTTGCCATGTATGTGTGCATTGTGATCCACCCTGAGTACCCTACAGGGTGAGAAGGGTGGAATATAAATACTACAAATACATTATATCACATTAAAAACTGTTAGATAGAAATGGCATGGGAAAATATTGATGAATGAACATGTGGTTGAGTGAGAGCACCTGGGTAATGACTGTGAATGTCATGATACAATACCTAAGGGAGTGTAGTAATGGCAAAAACACAGCAGAGTCCTTTTCATACAGAGTCCTTTCAATCCATTTATCAGCAGTCTAAGAACACCCGACCTACACTGCTCAGTAAACCCATGGATTCAGATTTTCATCCAATATATCCAGAGGCTTTCATCTTCACCGTTGCAATATATAAAAATATACAAACAGGATACACAGATCCACTTTCATCTTGTCATTGCAAAAAATCAGAGTCATCAGATAGTCACATACAACACAGGCAGATACTCAGACAGAGTCACATAGGAGAGAGAAAGATGGATTCTTTCATCCTGCTTATACAGCTAGGTCATCAGTAAGGGACACCCAACCTGGCTACTTCTAACATATTCATTGTTGGGTTGCTGTCAGGCTGTAGAATCTAAATAGCAATAGTAAATAACCACTCACAAGCAGGCTTGCTTTGAAATGGATATATTGCTTGTATCTCCGCAGCACTGATTTTTTCCCACCACCACTTCCTTTTATACACCTTTCTTGCCCATCTCCCCCTCTTCTCAGTCTCCTTATTAGAACTTGTTGCTTCACAAGTTCCATGACATGTGAGTTTTTTGGGCTGTATGGCCATGTTCCAGAAGCATTCTCTCCTGATGTTTTGCCCATGCATCCTCAAAGGTTGTGAGGCCTTCACTGTTAATGGCCAAGGCCACTGAAAGGGTACATACGTGTCATAACCATGCTCTTCTCTCTCCCGGATCCAGCTTCTTGCACTCGGTGCTGATCCTCACTTCAGCAGTGCTTTACTTCAGCAGTCAAGAAGCCTACGTGATCTTCATGGTCTTTGCCTTGGCCCTGGGGTGGATCAACCTGCTGTATTACACCCGTGGTTTCCAGCAGATGGGCGTCTACTCCGTCATGCTAGAGAAGGTCGGTCATGAATATTATTTTAAAAAAATAGAAATGAAAGGTTTTCATGAGGACAGTTGTTTCCCCATCCAGTTTGGCTTTACAATTGATATATGTCTGATAGGAGGTTGATGTTAAGTTCTGTTTTGCTGGTGAAACTGAATTATTGTGTCTGAAAAGTGTGTCACTAACATGAAATGGTTGGAAAGCTCTGCTTCAACCCATGAGTTGGAGATACAGCTACAACGATACTTGTAGCTGTATCAACAATACTTAGCAAGGATAATGTAGTTGACTGACACTAAAAATCCAGAGTGACATCTTTTGATTTTCCCTCACCTGCCTTCTTTTCCTTACAGATGATGCTGAGCGATCTCTTGCGCTTCATTGTGGTCTTCCTACTGTTCCATGTCGGTTTTTCAACAGGTGATTGATTGGGATTTGTTTTTCCCTCTGGAGGAGATGACCGAGGCAATTCAGAGACATAAGAGATGTTGAACCACCCTGAGTCCCTTTGGGGAGAGAGAGTGGGTTATAAATAAAGTTATTATTATTATTATTATTATTATTATTATTATTAACACAAAAGCACAGTATGTCACAGCAAACTAGATCTATATGCTGGATTTCGTATCACAAAATCACAAGTCAAACACTTCCCAAGTGTCTAGGACTGTGTGATGTATTTTCGAATGATGCGTGCAGATCCTAGTAAGGTGGCCTTTTGCAGTTGACAGATCATGATTTTGTCAATGTTTCTTGTTATTATTATTATTATTGGGCTGTGTCACCGTGTCTGTCTATTACCAAGTAGCCCAAACCTCCAGGGTCGTTGCTCAATCAGACACCGAAGGCAAGGAGATCGTTCAACAGGTTTATTTGATCTGTTCATCCTGCCGGGTGGACAAGTGCCACACAAAACTGAGATGCAGCTTGGTTTTATGGTCTACACTTTGAGCCCATTTATGCCTTATCTCTATTTCTTCCTTTCATTCCCTTATCAGTATTTCTGTGTCTGTTTTCTTCAGCAGCCAATCCCCCTCCTGCGTCTCCCCCTCCTTCACCTGCTTGTTACTAGACATTCCCTTTTGAACTCTCCCCTTGTCTGAACTCTCTACTGGTAATTTTCCACTATTATCTTAGCCCTATTCCCTTCAGAGAAAGGAAGAGTAGTAGAGGCAAGGCCTTGAAGACTCTTAATGGCTGTTTAGGAGAATTTAAGTTCCAGACACGAGGAGGAAGGGCTGAAGTTGTCCCAGGCCTGATCTGACTTTGCCCCAGTCCCTTGATGCTTCAACCATATGCTTCAGCCTGGGACGAATTCATGATCCAACTCCATGATGCCTTGCCTGAGGGTTGACCCTCTTCTCTCTTGGCCATTTGCAGCGGTAGTGACCCTCATTGAGGAAGACGATGAGAAGCCAGAGGGGCTGAACAGCACCTGCGCGCTGTGCGTGTGGCAGGTCAAGCGCCGGCCCTCCTACAACAACTTCTACTCCACCTGCCTGGAGCTCTTCAAGTTCACTATCGGGATGGGCGACCTGGAGTTCACCGAGAACTACCGCTTCAAGTACGTCTTCATCAGCCTGCTCATCGTCTACGTCATCCTCACCTACATCCTCCTGCTCAACATGCTCATCGCCCTCATGGGCGAGACCGTCAACAAGATCGCCCAGGAGAGCAAGAGCATCTGGAAGCTCCAGGTAGCAGGCCAGGACATAGCCATATATGTTTACAATGGGTTGTTGTGTGTTTTCCGGGCTGTGTGGCCATTCCACGGATATATAAACCCAATTTGCCTAGTTTCCAACAGACCTCAAAACCTCTGAGGATGCCTGCCATAGATGCAGGCAAAACGTCAGAAGAGAATGCTTCTGGAACATGGCCAGACATCCTGGAAAACTCACAACAACCCAAGGGTTCTGGCCACGACAATACATATGTTTACAATGTTTGCATTAAGTTTCAATAAAAGATATGCTTCATCAAAAAGGACACACTTCAACAAGACCAACTTAACATAATCAAATTAAATAAGAAGAGGAAAGATACTACCATGTCTTATCTGGACTTCCTTCTTTCCTCTTCTTCTTCTTCCTTTTTTTCTTCCTCCTCTTTTTTCCCTTTTCTTTTTCCTCTTCCTCCTCCTCTTCCTTTTCTTTCTCTTCATCTTCTCCCTTCTCTTCTTCTTCCTCTTTCCCTTCTTCTTTCCCTTCTACTTTCTCTCCTTTCCTCCTTCTCTTCCTCTCCTCCCCTTTCTCTTCCCCTCTTCTTCCTCTCTTTTCTTCTTTCTCTTCTCTTCCTCTCTCTTTTTCTCCTCCTCCTTCTTTTTCTTCTCTTCTTCCTCCTCCTCCTCCTCCTTTTTCTCCCCTCTTCCCTTCCTCCTCCTTTCTTTGTTGTCTCTCTCTTTCTCCTCGTCCTTTTCTTCTTTCTTCACCTTCTCCTTCTCCCTCTTCCCCTTGGTCCTCCTATTGTCTTCTTCTTCCTCCTCTTTTTTTCTTGTCCTCTTCTTCCTCCTCTTCTTCTCTTTCTCCTTTCCCTTCTTCTTCCTCTTTTTTCCTCTTCCTCCCCTTTTTCTTCAGCTTCCCCTTTTTCTTTTTCCTTCTCCTCTTCTTCCTCTTTCCCCTCTTCTCCTCCTCTTCTTTTACCTCCTCCTCCTTCCTCTCCTTCTCCCTCTTTCGCCTCCTGCTATTCTTTGTCTTCTTCATTTCTTCCCCTTCTCCTTTTTTCCCTTCTCATCTTCTTCCTCTTTTCCTTCTTTTTTCTCTTCTTTCTCCTTCTGTTCTTTCTCAACCTCCTTCTTCTTCCCCTTCTTTTTCCTTCCCCCTTCTTCTCCCTTTCCCCTCCTTTTCTCCTCCTCTTTTCTCCACCTCCTTTCTTCCTCTCCTTCTCCCTCTTTCCCCTCCTGCTATTCTTTGTCTTCTTCCTTCTTTCTCATCCTCTTCCCCTTCTCCTTTTTCCTTCTCATATTCTTCCTCTTTCCCTTCTTCTTCCTCTTCTTTCTCCTCCTGTTCTTCTTTTCCCCCTTCTTTTTCTTCTCTTTATGTATACCCTTCTTTTTCTCTCCGCAAAGAAGGCTTAGCATATATCACCCTTCCTTCCCTTTGAGGGACAGACTTCCGCTGCTTTCTTCTTTCCTCTAACACGGAAGCTTTCCAAACTTTCTTTCTTTCTGTACCCAAAAACAACCTTTCTTGTTCGAGGCTAACAAAAATCACAGCATATACGTGTAGAATGAAAAAGGAAAACGTGATGAATAAATGACTCTTTCCCCCCATGATCTGCAGAGAGCCATCACCATCTTGAACATTGAGAACAGCTACTGGAATTGCATCATCAACCCCTTCCGGTCCGGGAAGCAGGTTTTGGTGGGAACGACCCCAGATGGCAAGGACGATTATCGCTGGTGCTTCAGGTAAACCTGCTCTTGTTCTATTATTATTTACTCTAGAATAATAATAATAATAATAATAATAATAAATAATATGGTAAGTTTTATCTTTCTGAGTGGCAGAACGGGGTTGGAGTGAATTACCTTTGGGGTCCCCTCCAACTATACATATGAATCTAATAATGATAATATAATGGAAAGGTAAAGGTTTTCCCCGACATTAGTTCCAATGGTGTCCAACTCTGGGGGTTGGTGCTCATCTCCATTTCTAAGCCAAAGAGCTGGCGTTGTCCATAGACGCCTCCAAGGTCATGTGGCCAGCAGGACTGCATGGAGCACCACTACCTTCCCACCAGAGCAGTATCTATTGATCTACCCACATTTGCATGTTTTTGAACTGCTAGGTTGACAAAGGTTGGGGCTAACAGCGGGAGCTCTCCCTGCACCCCGGATTCAAACCTGCGACTTTCAGTCAACGAGTTCAAACAGCTCAGCAGTTTAACCCACTGTGCCACTGGGGGCTCCAATTATATTACTATTATTATTATTATTATTTGACTCCTAGATTTGGAAGGAGTCTAACCCATTTTATGTATGTTGTTCCTGGGATGGACAAGCTCCTTCCCAATGCAAACCAATAGGATCTCTTCTGTGTTGCCCGGAACCCTTCCTGCTGTTCTAGAGTCGACGAGGTGAACTGGTCCACCTGGAACACCAACCTGGGCATCATCAACGAGGATCCGGGCGGCTGCAATGAGGACCTGAAACGCAACCTGAGCTTCTCTCTGAAGCCGGGCAGAGGTGAGGAAAACATTGGGACCAATGGGCTTCCTTGTTGCCGTCACTATCCCACTATAACGGGCCACGATCTCTTCCTTCCCTCACTCTTTCCTTCTTCTCTCCCTTCTGTCTCTCTCTTCACTCTATATATTTTTACCATTCATTTGCCTAATATTTTGACAATTGATATAATATTCCCCCATTAATTAATATTTTACCATTCATTTAATATTGTTCCATGGATTGACAATATTTTATCATGAATTGACTTAATATTTTATGTCACTTATTTTTTTCTCTATTAATTGACTTAACATTTTCCCCATTAATTGACTTAATAATTTACAATTAATTTATTTCATATTTTTCTCAATTTAATATTTTCCTCATTAATTGACTTAGTAATTTTCTCCACTGACTTGATATTTTGCCATTAACTAACTTAATATTTTCCCATTAACTTAATATTTTACCATTAATAGACTTAATACTTTATCATGAATAGACTTAATATTTTACAATTCATTTAATAGTTTTCCATTAATTGACTTCATATTTTACCATTTATTTTTTCTCCGTTAATTAACTCAATATTTTTCTCCATCGACTTGATATTTCCCCATCAATTGACTTCATATTTTACCATTCATTTAATATTTTCCCCACAAATTGACTTCATATTTTTACCATGAATTGACTTCATATTTTCCCTACGAATAGACTTAATATTATAACGATAAATGTGTTTAATATTTTCTACATTAATTGGCTTAATTAATTTCCCCATTAACTGACTTAATATTTTCTGCATTAATTTAATTAATATTTTAACCAGTAATTTTTTAAATATTTTCCGCATTAATTTATTTAATATTTTTTCCATTAATTCATTTAATATTTTTACCATGTTTATTTTATATTTTTACCATTAATTTACACATTATTCATATTTTACCACTGACAATATTTTTCACCACGAATTGACTTAATATTTTACGAGTTTTCATGTAATAATTAACCTTAACCATTGGTCCCAGTAAACACTCAATTGTAATTCATGCAATAACTTCACAGTGGTCTTCAAAATAGTGTATTTTTCAGCCTTAGTGGAGTCATTGTATCCGAAGTGGTGAATTGTATTATTTATCATGAATTGACTTCATATTTTACCATCAATTATTTTGTTGTGATGCCAGTTTCAGGGAAGAACTGGAGGACGCTGGTCCCGATCCTGCGGGACGGGAAACGAGAAGGCTCCCTGAAGCCCATTTCAGAAGATGGCGCCGATTCGGAAGGGCAGCAGGAGATCCGGAAGAAGTCGCTCCCCAAGTGGGTCTCGTTTTGGTCTCTCCCAATATATACCTTTTTACAGAAATACCTTTTCATTAATATGACCATCAGCGGTCCTTCCTTGAAACCTTGACTTTTGAAATTGAACAATTAGTGTCTCATTACGTTTTATGTTAACCAATTATAGTACGAGGGTTGAATGAGAAGTAATGCCTCCACCTTCATAACTCCTCAACAGATGGCAGTACTGTTATGTGGCAGGTACTGGCTTGTTCAGTAGACTCTCCTCTACAGTTCCATTTTGACATGAAAAGGGCTGGATGCATACTATGAGGGTTGAATGAAAAGAAAAGCCTTCACCCTTGTAATTCCTCAACAGATGGCAGTACTGGTATGCAGCAGGTACTGGCTTGTTCAGTAGACTCTCCTCTACAGTTCCATTTTGACAGAAAGCCTTAGCATGGAATGGTTGTGTTGTTAAAGTGCGAAGTATGGAACCCTGCGCAGCCAGTTGGTCAATGCGACTTAAGCAACGTGCAAGTCATTGAATTCTTGACAGCAGAAGGTGCACCCCAAAGGAGATTCATCAGAGAATGCAAGCTGTTTATGGTGAT